CCTGCTGAGCTGCTGAGCCACTAGCCGACGCAATGCATCTCGCCAGAAGCAAAATGGCGTCATTCAAAGCTGCGGTCACAGCAGTCTCAACATGTCTCAACACAATGCAGTTCAGCCCTTGCTCAGACTAGGCCACACTGCTACCAACCCTCAGAAACTGTTGCTTTTTACAAGCTGACAGCATCTTTTGGATATGTTTAGATTCAGATGTTTGTTTGATTTTGAATAGCCTCACAATGACATCACACCCTCCGCAGCTGCAATGCGCAAGCTTTGCCCACGGGGAACGTGCAGATCTGGTGACGGGGCATTGATCCAGCAGGATATTCCGAGCTTCATGAGCTATGGACCAAAGTTTGGCCTGGGGCAACCTGGTTTATAGTCATTGTGTCTGCGTGGGTGTCTTCGGAAACTTCGCCAAAAAGCCCCACCAGACGGATGTACCCACTGACATCAAAGGGAACTGTGAAGAGCCAACAACAACACTAAGAGAATCAAGTTACGTTAGTCTCTGCAAGTCTAATCAAATACAGTATGCATCGGTACGCCATTTAACTTTCTTTGTTTAGCAGGTACTTTGTTGACCCAGGTCTTCTCAAAGGGCCCCCACAGGCTTTGGGAATCACCCCTGCTGGCTGGCAGTAGTAAAACATGCTAAAACTTGTGGCCCACTTTTCAGTTATGCTCAACCTTCAATTGGCGCAGCAACTCTCACTAACTTCAAACCACAATCATCCAGCCAGCTGGAGTTACTTCCACCAAAACTGTCTCCCCACTCATGTCGAGGTGTAGTTGGCAATGAACGAGGCGTTGGTGTCCGAGATAAAGGGTGCAACAAGAAGACGAGATGGTGCGGGTTGCACATCACCCCCCATGTTTCGGCCATACTCCAACAAGTCTGCGCACATACGGTCCATGTTCTGCGCCGACAGAATGCAGCACTCTCGATCCACGTGCCATGTCACTTCGGCTGGAGAACATTTGTAGTTGTCGTAGGACGTACCGGTGGTGGAGCCAATGTACACCACTGAGTCTCTGACTGGTTCACGCCAGGTCGTGTTGAACATCTTGTATTCTTGAGCTGGCCAGTTCACGATGCGACAGATCTGTCCTCGCACAAAGGCCGTTGGATTTATGGATCGATTGAAGACACCACCCAAGCCGCCCGACAAAACCCCATCAATGGGCCCGGCCGTGGAATGGACCCAGTGAAACTCATAGGTGTAGCCCATCTTCACATTTTTGCAAGATGTCCAGTTGTAATCATCCAAGGTCCAGCTGACATTGTCTGGTTCATAGTTCACTGGAGCGCAAAAATATCCTGATATATCCTGGGCGGATGTCATTCGGAACGATATCCCCTGCAAGCCCGGCTTCGGTATAGTTGAGGGAATAGCCCCCCTCATCCACGTTTTGGTGTTCACCACCCAAGTGAAAGTGCGTGTTCACATGGATCAGGTTGGGGAACTCATCGTACAAACCTCGGAAATGATTCCAAACTCTTCCAAGACATTCGATGGATTTCAACTCACAACAGCGTTGAACAACAGTTGAACTGAAATCTAGGTACTGGGTGTTCTTCCCATGTGTTTAATCACATTACGAGCTCTTGACAAAACAAAATGTTGCCTTTCATCCAAGAACCGACGGGCTGCACTTTCGGAGGCAACAATCCCACGAAATCTTTACTCACGTTGCGTGGCGACTGCGGCTCTGAGGTGGAGCAAGGATAGCGTGGAGGTGCCGGGGGGGGGAGGAGGAGCTGGGTGACTCTGTCGACGTGAGTCAATGATCTTCTTCTTGACCCACCATGGAAGACCCTCGTTCAACTCATTGAGCTCATCACCCGTCATCTCTCCTTGGCAACCAAGTTTCAAGGCTTAAAATCTGACACAAGGAAATTGTGAATAGATGGGGAAACATCCACTTAAGAGTAAGTAAGTATAATATACATAAAATAGAATCTATGTTGGACTGGCCACTTTATACCCCCTCCCCCAACAGAGAATGCCTCTATAAAGTGGCCAGTCCAGGTAAAACCCCTGAAAAAACACATTTTTACCTGGAATGGCCACTTTATACCCCAGCCAGTGGGCTCCAGGACTTTGACCCGGAAACGGAAGGACTGACAACAAGGTAAAGGGGGAAAACTACAACGGAGAGGTACAACGGGAAGGCTACCACAAGAAAATGAGACATGTCACGTTTATATACGTTTATTGTTTTCAATGTGTCATATAGATTGGCGATGATTGGTATATGAATATGTTGTAAATGTATTTTGGAACATATGTATACCTATGATTCACACATCAATATAAATATATATAAATCATAAACACATGCCAAACCAAAAACTTTTAGCTGAGTATTGTATTCCCAATCTGTTGGCAAATGTCCAGCCGATTCACCATGCGTGACCCAACAAGATTCAAACTATGGATTGTTTACTTTCGATTATTTTTTTACTGGTTCTTGCAAACAATTTTATAGAGGATGGGCATGGACCGGCCAGTTTATACAGAGGGTGGGGCTGCCAGAAATGACGTGATCAAGCCACTTTATAGAGCTGAACTTTCTTGCAAACCATTTTATAGAGGATGGGCATGTGGCCGTGGTTTTGGTCCATAGATGTCCATAGATTTTTAGGATGATTTTGGGAGATTGTCGTCATAGATATACGTAGATTCACCCAGTTTTTTTTTCAAAAGTAAACAATCCATAGTTTGAATCTTGTTGGGTCACGCATGGTGAATCGGCTGGACATTTGCCAAGAGATTGGGAATACAATACTCAGCTAAAAGTTTTTGGTTTGGCATGTGTTTATGATTATATATATATTTATATTGATGTGTGAATCATAGGTATACATATGTTCCAAAATACATCTACAACATATTCCATATACCAATCATCGCCAATCTATATGACACATTGAAAACAATAAACATATATAAACGTGACATGTCTCATTTTCTTGTGGTAGCCTTCCCGTTGTACCTCTCCGTTGTAGTTTTCCCCCTTTACCTTGTTGTCAGCCCTTCCGTTTCCGGGTCAAAGTCCTGGAGCCCACTGGCTGGGGTATAAAGTGGCCATTCCAGGTAAAAATGTATTTTTTCAGGGGTTTTACCTGGACTGGCCACTTTATAGAGGCATTCTCTGTTGGGGGAGGGGGTATAAAGTGGCCAGTCCAAATAATTCTGTTTTTTCAGGGTTTTACCTCGACTGGCCAACATTCTCTGTTGGGGGAGGGGGTATAAAGTGGCCAGTCCAACATAGATTCTGTTTTTTCAGGGTTTTACCTGGACTGGCCACTTTATAGAGGCATTCTCTGTTGGGGGAGGGGGTATAAAAGTAGGCCAGTCCAATTCTCATAGTCCAACTCTGTTTTTTCAGGGGTTTTACCTGGACTGGCTACTTTATAGAGGCATTCTCTGTTGGGGAGGGGGTATAAAGTGGCCAGTCCAACATAGATTCTGTTTTTTCAGGGGTTTTACTTGGACTGGCCACTTTATAGAGGCATTCTCTGTTGGGGGAGGGGGTATAAAGTGGCCAGTCCAACAAATTCTCTTTTTTCAGGGGTTTTACTTGGACTGGCCACATTCTCTGTTGGGGGAGGGGGTATAAAGTGGCCAGTCCAAAAATGTGTTTTTTCAGGGTTTTACCTGGACTGGCCACTTTATAGAGGCATTCTCTGTTGGGGGAGGGGGTATAAAGTGGCCAGTCCAACATAATTCTGTTTTTTCAGGGGTTTTACCTGGACTGGCCACAGGCATTCTCTGTTGGGGGAGGGGGTATAAAGTGGCCAGTCCAACATAGATTCTGTTTTTTCAGGGGTTTTACCTGGACTGGCCACTTTATAGAGGCATTCTCTGTTTGGGAGGGGGTATAAAGTGGCCAGTCCAACATAGATTCTGTTTTTTCAGGGGTTTTACCTGGACTGGCCAGGCATTCTCTGTTGGGGGAGGGGGTATAAAGTGGCCAGTCCAACATAGATTCTGTTTTTTCAGGGGTTTTACCTGGACTGGCCACTTTAACATAGATTCTGTTTTTTCAGGTGTTTTACCTGGACTGGCCACTTTATAGAGAAGAAGATTTCGCTTGAAAGGGGTCCTCAGGGTGAATGGGGTCCTGGGCAGCTCTATAAAGTGATTTGGGTGATGTATCTCATGACTCTATAAAATGCTCTGCCGCAATTTTCTTTCTATAAAGTGCCCTGGATGCAGCACAAATTCTTCTTCTTAAAGGGCAAGTTTCACTCTGTAAAGTGCTTTGCCATGTATACAGCCCCAACAGAAAAATATTGGCCCGAAATCATTGGGGAGACATGTTTCTATAAAGTGGATGGTGTGACATATTATGGCCATTCTTTGAAGGGAACCAACGGTCTATAAAATGCATTGCCGCATATATTGAGTCGTTTCCTTGTGGGAAACCAGCCGGGTATAAACTGGAAAGCCAACGTTCTAATAAAGTCATCTTCCAGGTCCAAGGGCATGTTTCTCGCGCAAAACACGGCTTTATCCCCCATTGTCGGTATATAAAGTGGCGACCGGAAACCCACTTTATAAGCGCAAAGGATGTCCACTTTATAGTGAGCTATACATGGGGGATGTGTTTTGTACATTTTGACTTCAAAATGTGCTTCGCGCCACAACGGCGTACGCTTTTTCGACATCTCAACTTCCAAAAGTGGTCCGAACCTGGTGTGTTTTGTACATTTTGACTTCAAAATGTGCTTCGCGCCACAACGGCGTACACTTTTTCGACATCTCAACTTCCAAAAGTGGTCCGAACCTGTTGTGTTTTGTACATTTTGACTTCAAAATGTGCTTCGCGTCACAACGGCGTGCACTTTTTCGACATCGCAACTTCCAAAAGTGGTCCGAAGCTGGTGTGTTTTGTAATGCAATTTTTCATTTCTCATCTGGCCAGCTGCCTCCGCACCCGCCACTTTAGCGGGCCTACTTTTCGACCCTCCGGAGCCACAAATCATTGGAAAAACACAGTGTTTCGCGACTTTCCTACCTTTTCGCGCATCTGCATCTTCTTTCTTCTGATCTTTCTCTTCTCTCTGCCTCTTCCCTGCTCTGCTTTTCATCTGTCCATATTGTCGGAAGTTTAACTTCTAAACTTCCTTCGATTATATTATATATAATATATATTAGATTTTAGAGTATCGTTTAGCATTATATATGTCCAGAAGCATTCCAACGAAAAGAAAGTTGAGTAGATGAAACACCAGTGAATTCACAAAAACTGTATGTTGCAAAGTAAAGTTGCCGAACGAACGCTGGAATTTATGATTCAACGATATAACATGTTCCAAGAAATAATGCCAACAATAGAAAAATGAGAAATACAAAGTGTTCTAAACTGCCAAAACAAAATATCAGTAAATAATCCATGAAAAACAAAGTTGGCATACAATTTAATTGCACTATAGCCTTTCCCAGTACAGGCACACAAAGGAAAAAACGTGTGGTTTAAAATCATGAACATAGTAACTCAACATTTGGAATTTGAACATGAACAGGGACAGTGGAATAATAGAACTAGAAATCAACTACAGAAGCAGTGACCACAAAAATATAAATGAAGGAAAATGGACAAGACAAAAACTGCTAGAACAAACTCCGTTCTTGATAGACTAGCCTAAAAGGGACCCTGGCTCCCACACTGTACATCTAGAGCTAGAGAAAACGTCTCAGAGTCTCAGATCTCTTCAGATCTCCTAAGATCTCCTAAATATAGCCAAGCGGGAAGACCTCCTGAGTCTCAAGATGTCTTAAGTGATCGTTGATCCAAGTCTCGGTGATTGAGCTGCATCAGAGTGGAGCTTTCCTCCTGGGACTCCTCTTGACAGCTCTGCTCTGCAAGCGCCTGCATCATGAGAACCACGAGAACCGTAACCCTCGCCATGACGTGATGCCGAGATATGCCGAGTCTCCGAGAATCTGACAACCCGAAAGGGCCGACCTGCTGAGCTGCTGAGCCACTAGCTGACGCAATGCATCTCGCAAGAAGCAAAATGGCGTCATTCAAAGCTGCGGTCACAGCAGTCTCAACACAATGCAGTTCACACTGCTACCGACCCTCAGAAGCCGCTGCTTTTCACAAGCTGACAGCTTTTTTTGGATATTTTTAGGTGTTTGTTTGGTTTTGAGTAGCCTCGTAATGACATTATCTAGATAGAATTGATTGGAATTGCAACTTATTTCGCCCTACACAGCATGCACAATCCGATCAAAAGGCCCTGTTTAAGTTTGTGACGATATAACGTGTACCTTCAGCTGAGTTATTTGTCTTGCATCTTTTTCTGCTTGCATGCAACCGATCCAGTGTCGAAAGGAATCCACTGGGGGCACATTATGTTCCCAGAGAAGCGGGAAACCAGTGCCTTCGTCAAAGGTGCAACAGCCGGCCATCGAAGCACCCTCAAGTCAACCAACAACTCCATTCTGCCATTCTGAATTACATCTGGAGGATCAGTCTGTGAGGCAAAGGATGAGTTGTGACAAAAGTCAGATTGCCTCGTTGTTGAAAAGAAGAGGAAATGGACCCAAGTTTGGAAAACGCGGAATTGGTCTTTGATCCATTTGATTGCATGTAAATGTATTTAAATGCATTTTATATATTCTATACTTGCTATTTCTTGATGTACAACACGCTTCTTTTAGATGCATACACCTTCAACACTCCTTGAGCAAAGTCCAAAATTATACAAAGAAGCTACGCGAGTGAAGCAAAGTGACGGAGAAGAAACAGGAGGATGCTCCGGTACTTCCGGGCTGCTTTGACGGTATATTCCGAGCTTCATGAGCTATGAGCCACAAACAGAAATGGCCATCCTGATTGAATTTTCCTATTTGAATTGAGAACTGGCCAAGATGGCTAGCCTCAAAACGTCAAACTAATCCGCAGACCTCATCTCTTGTGACAAGGCCCGACCAAAGTTTGGCCTGGGCCAACCTGGTTTATAGTCATTGTGTCTGCGTGGGTGTCTTCGGAAACTTCGCCAAAAAGCCCCACCAGACGGATGTACCCACTGACATCAAAGGGAACTGTGAAGAGCCAACAACAACACTAAGAGAATCAAGTTACGTTAGTCTCTGCAAGTCTAAGCAAATACAGTATGCATCGGTACGCCATTTAACTTTCTTTGTTTAGCAGGTACTTTGTTGACCCAGGTCTTCTCAAAGGGCCCCCACAGGCTTTGGGAATCACCCCTGCTGGCTGGCAGTAGTAAAACATGCTAAAACTTGTGGCCGACTTTTCAGTTATGCTCAACCTTCAATTGGCGCAGCAACTCTCACTAACTTCAAACCACAATCATCCAGCCAGCTGGAGTTACTTCCACCAAAACTGTCTCCCCACTCATGTCGAGGTGTAGTTGGCAATGAACGAGGCGTTGGTGTCCGAGATAAAGGGTGCAACAAGAAGACGAGATGGTGCGGGTTGCACATCACCCTCCATGTTCCGGCCATACTCCAACAAGTCTGCGCACATACGGTCCATGTTCTGCGCCGACAGAATGCAGCACTCTCGATCCACGTGCCATGTCACTTCGGCTGGAGAACATTTGTAGTTGTCGTAGGACGTACCGGTGGTGGAGCCAATGTACACCACTGAGTCTCTGACTGGTTCACGCCAGGTCGTGTTGAACATCTTGTATTCTTGTTCTGGCCAGTTCACGATGCGACAGATCTGTCCTCGCACAAAGGCCGTTGGATTTATGGATCGATTGAAGACACCACCCAAGCCGCCCGACAAAACCCCATCAATGGGCCCGGCCGTGGAATGGACCCAGTGAAACTCATAGGTGTAGCCCATCTTCACATTTTTGCAAGATGTCCAGTTGTAATCAGCCAAGGTCCAGTTGTCACCCATTTCTGGTTCCTGGCTCACTGGAGCGCAAAAATATCCTGGGCGGATGTCATTCGGAACGATATTCCCTGCAAGCCCGGCATCGGTATAGTTGAGGGAATAGCCCCCCTCATCCACGTTTTGGTGTTCACCACCCAAGTGAAAGTGCGTGTTCACGTGGATCAGATTGGGGAACTCATCGTACAAACCTCGGAAATGATTCCAAACTCTTCCAAGACATTCGATGGATTTCAACTCACAACAGCGTTGAACAACAGTTGAACTGAAATCTAGGTACTGGGTGTTCTTCCCATGTGTTTAATCACATTACGAGCTCTTGACAAAACAAAATGTTGCCTTTCATCCAAGAACCGACGGGCTGCACTTTCGGAGGCAACAATCCCACGAAATCTTTACTCACGTTGCGTGGCGACTGCGGCTCTGAGGTGGAGCAAGGATAGCGTGGAGGTGCCGGGGGGGGAGGAGGAGCTGGTGGGTGACTCTGTCGACGTGAGTCAATGATCTTCTTCTTGACCCACCATGGAAGACCCTCGTTCAACTCATTGAGCTCATCACCCGTCATCTCTCCTTGGCAACCAAGTTTCAAGGCTTAAAATCTGACACAAGGAAATTGTGAATAGATGGGGAAACATCCACTTAAGAGTAAGTAAGTATAATATACATAGTGTATACCAGTAGTACCGCACAAGGCGGTGGCGGAAGTTTCAAAAATAGGAAACCTATAGGAGAGGTTGGTTGTTGTGAATCAGGGATGGCAGAGCGAAGCCACTGATGGATTGAAAGGGGCTTGATCTCTCTCACTCTTTCTCTCTCTTTCTCTGACTATCTACCTACCTACCTATCTATTTTCTATGTATCTATCTATCTATCGATCTATCTATCTATCTATCTATCTCTCCCTCTCTCTCTCTTTCATCTAATTACCTACCTATCTATCTATCTATTTATCTATCTATCTATCTATCTATCTATGTATCTATCTATCTGTCTATCTATCGATCTATCTATCTATCGATCTATCTATCGATCTATCTATCTATCTATCTATCTATCTGCCTATCTATCTACCTACCTGTCTATCTATCTCTCCAAGTATCTATCTATCGATGTATCTATCTATCTATCTATCTATCTATCTATCTATCTATCTATCTATCTATCGATCTGTCTATCTGTCTATCTGTCTACCTGTCTATCTATCTATCTATCCATCCATCCATCCATCTACCGTTTACTGATACGATCCTCAAATTCCGAAATTGAAACTTCAACAGCTCCTACAGTGTTAACACAACAGACTACAAACACATGAAGAAATCTAGCACATCCCTCTGACGTGTCTCCCTCACGGTGTCGCCGCAGTGTGTTTTTTTCCAAGCAGCAACGGACAAGAATCTTGGGCTGCCGCTGTGCTAGCAGGCATCATCGTGCCATCAGAAAAGACAGACACGAGGCCGGGCTTGCAATGAAGTACAAATGCTCGAGTGCATCATCGTGCAGTCAGAAAAGACATACACGCTGGCATGTGTCTCTCTATCTATTTGTCTCTCTGTCTATCTATCGATCAAATTCTCTCTCTCTATATATATATATATCTCTCTCTCTCTCTATCTGTCTACCTGTCTATCTGTCTATCTGTCTATCTATCTGTCTATGTCTCTACCCATCTATTTCTCTATTTGTCTTGGTATCTAACTATCTGTCTATGTGTCTATGTATCTATCTGTCTATCTCGCCATCTATTTCTCTAGCTATCTCTCTGACTATTTATCTATCTGCCTGTCTGTCCATCTATCTATTTATCTATATGTCTGTCTGTCCATCTATCTATGTATCTATCTATCTCTCTACCTGTATCTATCTATATATTCTATCTATCTATCTGTCTGTCTGTCTGTCTGTCTGTCGTCTATCTGTCTAGCCATCTATCTTTCTATCTCATCTACCCAGCTGGCCCCTCTCTCTCTCTCTTTCATCTAATTACTAATTACCTATCTAATCTATCTATCTACCTACCTGTCTATCTATCTCGCCCTTTCATCTGTCTATCTGTCTAGCTGTCTACCTGTCTATCTGTGTTGCAGTGTCATTCAGTGTAATGTAGTGTGGTGGTTGTAATTAGTGTAGTGGAGCGTACTGGAGTGTAATGTAGTGTGTAATGTAGTTTACTGGAGTGTAGTGTAGCGTAATGTTCTGTAGTGTTGTGTCTTGAAGCGAAGCGACATCTGACCTCCAAAAGTGGTCCGAACCCTAGTGGTTTGCTATTTTGACACACAACGGCGTGCACTTTTTCGACATCTCACTTCCAAAAGTGGTCCGAGCTGCTGAATTTTGGATTTGACTTCAGATGTTGCTTCGCGCCACACGGCGTGCACTTTTTCAACATCCGAAAACCAAAAGTGGCGCGAACATGTGGTGTTTTGTACATTTTGACTCGAAATGTGCTCGCGCCACAACGGCGTGCACTTTTTCAACATACGAACTTCCAAAAGGGCAATTGGCGTTTGTACATTTTGACTTCGAAAAGTGTTTCGCGCCCAACGGCGGCATTTTTTCAACATCCCACCTCAAAATGGCTCGAACATTTGGTGTTTGTACATTTTGACTCATGTGCTTCGCGCCACCACGGCGTACGACATCCAAACTCCAAAAGTGGCCGACATGTGGTGTTTTGTACATTTTGACTTCAAAATGTGCTTCGCCGCACAACGGCATACACTTTTTCGCAACTTCCAAAATGGTCCGACGGTGTGTTTTGTACATGTTGACTTCGAAATGTGCTTCGCCCCACAACGGCGTACACTTTTTCAACATCCGAACCTCCAAAAGTGGCGCGAACATATGGTGTTTTGCACATTTTGACTTCGAAATCTGCTTCGCGCCACAACGGCGTACACTTTTTCAACGTCCGAACCTCCAAAAGTGGCTCGAACATTTTGGTGCTTTGCACATTTTGACTTCGAAATCTGCTTCGCGCCACAACGGCGTGCACTTTTTCAACATCCGAACCTCCAAAAGTGGCTCGAACATTTTGGTGCTTTGTACATTTTGACTTCAAAATGTGCTTCGCGCCACAACGGCGTACGCTTTTTCGACATCTCAACTTCCAAAAGTGGTCCGAACCTGGTGTGCTTTGTACATTTTGACTTCAAAATGTGCTTCGCGCCACAACGGCGTACACTTTTTCGACATCTCAACTTCCAAAAGTGGTCCGAACCTGGTGTGTTTTGTACATTTTGACTTCAAAATGTGCTTCGCGTCACAACGGCGTGCACTTTTTCGACATCGCAACTTCCAAAAGTGGTCTGAAGCTGGTGTGTTTTGTAGTGCAATTTTTCATTTCTCATCTGGCCAGCTGCCTCCGCACCCGCCACTTTAGCGGGCCTACTTTTCGACCCTCCGGAGCCACAAATCATTGGAAAAACACAGTGTTTCGCGACTTTCCTACCTTTTCGCGCATCTGCATCTTCCCCCTTCTGATCTTTCTCTTCTCTCTGCCTCTTCCCTGCTCTGCTTTTCATCTGTCCATATTGTCGGAAGTTTAACTTCTAAACTTCCTTCGATTATATTGTATATAATATATATTAGATTTTAGAGTATCGTTTAGCATTATATATGTCCAGAAGCATTCCAACGAAAAGAAAGTTGAGTAGATGAAACACCAGTGAATTCACAAAAACTGTATGTTGCAAAGTAAAGTTGCCGAACGAACGCTGGAATTTATGATTCAACGATATAACATGTTCCAAGAAATAATGCCAACAATAGAAAAATGAGAAATACAAAGTGTTCTAAACTGCCAAAACAAAATATCAGTAAATAATCCATGAAAAACAAAGTTGGCATACAATTTAATTGCACTATAGCCTTTCCCAGTACAGGCACACAAAGGAAAAAACGTGTGGTTTAAAATCATGAACATAGTAACTCAACATTTGGAATTTGAACATGAACAGGGACAGTGGAATAATAGAACTAGAAATCAACTACAGAAGCAGTGACCACAAAAATATAAATGAAGGAAAATGGACAAGACAAAAACTGCTAGAACAAACTCCGTTCTTGATAGACTAGCCTAAAAGGGACCCTGGCTCCCACACTGTACATCTAGAGCTAGAGAAAACGTCTCAGAGTCTCAGATCTCTTCAGATCTCCTAAGATCTCCTAAATATAGCCAAGCGGGAAGACCTCCTGAGTCTCAAGATGTCTTAAGTGATCGTTGATCCAAGTCTCGGTGATTGAGCTGCATCAGAGTGGAGCTTTCTTCCTGGGACTCCTCTTGACAGCTCTGCTCTGCAAGCGCCTGCATCATGAGAACCACGAGAACCGTAACCCTCGCCATGACGTGATGCCGAGATATGCCGAGTCTCCGAGAATCTGACAACCCGAAAGGGCCTACCTGCTGAGCTGCTGAGCCACTAGCTGACGCAATGCATCTCGCAAGAAGCAAAATGGCGTCATTCAAAGCTGCAGTCACAGCAGTCTCAACACAATGCAGTTCACACTGCTACCGACCCTCAGAAGCCGCTGCTTTTCACAAGCTCACAGCTTTTTTTGGATATTTTTAGGTGTTTGTTTGGTTTTGAGTAGCCTCGTAATGACATTATCTAGATAGAATTGATTGGAATTGCAACTTATTTCGCCCTACACAGCATGCACAATCCGATCAAAAGGCCCGGTTTAGTTTGTGACGATATAACGTGTACCTCCAGCTGAGTTATTTGTCTTGCATCTTTTTCTGCTTGCATGCAACCGATCCAGTGTCGAAAGGAATCCAAGGTTCCAAGATTCTCCCCCTTTCTCTGGGGGCACATTATGTTCCCAGAGAAGCGGGAAACCAGTGCCTTCGTCAAAGGTGCAACAGCCGGCCACCGAAGCACCCTCAAGTCAACCAACAACTCCATTCTGCCATTCTGAATTACATCTGGAGGATCAGTCTGTGAGGCAAAGGATGAGTTGTGACAAAAGTCAGATTGCCTCGTTGTTGAAAAGAAGAGGAAATGGACCCAAGTTTGGAAAACGCGGAATTGGCCTTTGATCCATTTGATTGCATGTAAATGCATTTAAATGCATTTAATATATTCTATACTTGCTATTTCTTGATGTACAACACGCTTCTTTGAGATGCATACACCTTCAACACTCCTTGAGCAAAGTCCAAAATTATACAAAGAAGCTACGCGAGTGAAGCAAAGTGACGGAGAAGAAACAGGAGGATGCTCCGGTACTTCCGGGCTGCTTTGACGGTATATTCCGAGCTTCATGAGCTATGAGCCACAAACAGAAATGGCCATCCTGATTGAATTTTCCTATTTGAATTGAGAACTGGCCAAGATGGCTAGCCTCAAAACGTCAAACTAATCCGCAGACCTCATCTCTTGTGACAAGGCCCGACCAAAGTTTGGCCTGGGCCAACCTGGTTTATAGTCATTGTGTCTGCGTGGGTGTCTTCGGAAACTTCGCCAAAAAGCCCCACCAGACGGATGTACCCACTGACATCAAAGGGAACTGTGAAGAGCCAACAACAACACTAAGAGAATCAAGTTGCGTTAGTCTCTGCAAGTCTAAGCAAATACAGTATGCATCGGTACGCCATTTAACTTTCTTTGTTTAGCAGGTACTTTGTTGACCCAGGTCTTCTCAAAGGGCCCCCACAGGCTTTAGGAATCACCCTGCTGGCTGGCAGTAGTAAAACATGCCAAAACTTGTGGCCGACTTATCAGTTAATTAAATTATGCTGCTATGAAAACCTTCAATTGGCGCAGCAACTCTCAGTAACTTCAAACCACAATCAGCTGGCTGGAGTTACTTCCACCAAAACTGTCTCCCAACTCATGTGGAGGTGTAGCTGGCAATGAACGAGGCGTTGGTGTCCGAGATAAAGGGTACAACAAGAAGACGAGATGGTGCGGGTTGCACATCACCCCCCATGTTTCGGCCATACTCCAATAAGTCTGCACACATACGGTCCATGTTCTGTGCCGACAGAATGCAGCACTCTCGATCCACGTGCCATGTCACTTTGGCTGGAGAACATTTGTAGTTGTCGTAGGACGTACCGGTGGTGGAGCCAATGTACACCATTGAGTCTCTGACCGGTTCACGCCAGGTCGTGTTGAAATGTGTTGAACATCTTGTATTCTTGTTCTGGCCAGTTCACGATGCGACAGATCTGTCCTCGCACAAAGGCCGTTGGATTTATGGATCGATTGAAGACACCACCCAAGCCGCCCGACAAAACCCCGTCAATGGGCCCGGCCGTGGAATGCACCCAGTGAAACTCATAGGTGTAGCCCATCATCACATTTTTGCAAGATGTCCAGTTGTAATCAGCCAAGGTCCAGTTGTCACCGTCTGCTGGTCCCTTGTCCACTGAAGCGCAAAAATATCCTGGGCGGATGTCATTCGGAACGATATCCCCAGACACGGCATCGGTATAGTTGAGGGAATAGCCCCCCTCATCCACGTTTTGGTGTTCACCACCCAAGTGAAAGTGTGTATTCACGTGGATCAGATTGGGGAACTCATCGTACAAACCTCGGAAATGATTCCAAACTCTTCCAAGACATTCGATGGATTTCAACTCACAACAGCGTTGAACAACAGTTGAACTGAAATCTAGGTACTGGGTGTTCTTCCCATGTGTTTAATCAGATTACGAGCTCTTGACAGAACAAAATTTTGCCCTTCATCCAAGAACCGACGGGCTGCACTTTCGGAGGCAACAATCCCACGAAATCTTTACTCACGTTGCGTGGCGACTGCGGCTCTGAGGTGGAGCAAGGATAGCGTGGAGGTGCCGGGGGGGGAGGAGGAGCTGGTGGGTGACTCTGTCGACGTGAGTCAATGATCTTCTTCTTGACCCACCATGGAAGATCCTTGTTCAACTCATTGAACTCATCACCCGTCATCTCTCCTTGGCAACCAAGTTTCAAGGCTTAAAATCTGACACAAGGAAATTGTGAATAGATGGGAAAACATCCACTTAAGAGTAAGTAAGTATAATAATTATACAGAAACTTTCCCACAGAGAAGTCTTTACACAGAGAGTTTTTACACACGGAAGTTTTCACGCACATTTTTTTTACACAGAGAAGCCTTTACACAGAGAAA